AATAATGACTTGAGTGGGTATTAAAATATATAAAATTAAAATACACAGTAACTATATTTGGGATGGTATATACAGAGTTGAAGTGTTCCAAGGTCACTGCTTTATTCAAGAGGAAGGTCAAGTAATGGTTAACATTAGACTTGGAGAATTTAATGGCACATGTTGTAATTTCTAAGATAACCAATAAAAATGTAATCAACAAAAATGGGATACAAGGACATATAAATTAGAAGAAAAAGAGGCACGTTAAAAATCCAAAAGAAAGGGCGCCTGGGTGGCTCAGTTGGTTGGGCGACTGCCTTCGGCTCAGGTCATGATCCTGGAGTCCCTGGATCAAGTCCCGCATCAGGCTCCCTGCTCGGCGAGGAGCCTGCTTCTCCCTCTAACCCTCCCCGCTCTCATGTACTCTCTCTCTCTCTCATTCTCGCTCTCTCAAATAAATAAATAAATCTTTAAAAAAAAAAAAAATCCAAAAGAAGGCATGGAAGGAGGTGAAAAGAAACAAAGAACAGATAGTGCAAAGAGAAAGTATAGACAACATGGTAAAATTTAACCCCAAATACAGCAATTATTACATTAAATGTAAATGAACTAAATATCCCAGTTAAAAGATAAATATGTCAGGCTAGATAAGAAAACAACATTCAATTATATGCCATTTATAATAGACCCATCTGAAGCACGAGAGCACAGAGAGATTCAAAATTTAAAAGACAGAAAAAGACATGTCATGCAAATACTAAAAGGAAGATGATGTAGCTACATCAGATAAAACATACTTTAGGACAAGAATTATTAGAGAAAACGAGGGTCATTTCATAGTTACAAAAGATTAAATTCACCAGGAAAATAATAAATTTTAATTGTATATAATGTGAGTATATAACCTAAAATTATATAATGCAAAAATGGAGAAAACTACAAGAATAGACACCATGGGAGATTTTAACATATGGCTGACAGAACAAACAGACCAAAAAATGAGGAGGAGAATGCAAGATTTGAACTACATGTTTTCCAGAGCACTGTACCTAAGAGATAGAGAATATGCATTCTTTTCAAATTTGACCAAATGGTTGAATGAGCTAAGCACTGATCTCAAGCAATTAGAAAAATAAACAATAAAATAAAAAATAGAAGGAATTTAAAAAGAACACAAATTAAATAGAAAACAAACATAAAATAGTCTCAAAAAAACTTGATTCTTTGAAAAGGCTAATAAAATTGACAAACCTCTAGTGAGACCAGTTAAGAAAAAAAGGGCATAATTTACCAACATTAGAATGAAAAGGAGTTACTGCTATAATGTAAACATTAAAAGAGGGTATAATGAATACTTTTAGGTCGATATTATTAAAAATTTTAGATGAAATAAAAAATTCCAAGAAAAATAAACTTACCCAACTTACCTGTGATGTAGAGAACTTGCCTGTGAAGTAGAAACTAGTCCTGTGACTATTACAGAAACAGAATCAGTGATTTTAAAAAAGCTTCTTGCAAAGGAACTATAGACTAAATTGACTTTACTGGTAAACTCTACCAAAAATTTAAGGAGAAAGTAATTTCAGTATTGAATTCTTCCAGTTAATAGAAAAGAGCATACTCCCCATGAGGGAGTTTGAGGTTAGTGTACGTAACTTTGATACCAAGAACAGCACAAAACAGTACAAAAAAGAGAATCTCAATTGTGAATATTGTTGCAAAAGTCCTAAGCAAAAATACTGACAATCTAAATTCAGTAATAGTTTAAAAGACAATATGATCTGGGGGCGCCTGCGTGGCTCAGCTGTTTAAGCATCTGCCTTCGACTCAGGTCATGACCCCAGGGTCCTGGGACTGAGCCCCTCATTGGGCTCCTGCTCAGCAGGGAGCTTGCTTTTCTTCCTGTCCTCCCAACCTGTGCTCTATCTCTATTGCTATCTCTGTCTCTCTCTCTAAAATAAACAAAATCTTAAAAAAAAAAAAAATCAATACGATCTGTCCAAGTTGGATTTATACCAAGAATGCAAGGTTGTTTAGCACTGGAAAACTGATCAATGTAATTCACCCTGTTAATGAACAAAAAGGGGAAAAATCATAATCATTTCAATACATGTAAAAAATGTATGATAAAATTTATTCATGAAAAGGATAAATTTAGCAATCCACGAAAAGAATTTCCTTAGCCTAATTAAGAGGGTGTCTAGAGAACAAAAAACAATAGACATCATACTTAACGGCAAAAATATTAACACTTTCCATTTGAGGAGAATGTCTGTTACCAACACTTCTATTTAACATTGTACTGAATGTCCGAGCCAGCTCTGTAGGGCAAGACAAAGGTGTAAAAGGTAAAGGGATGGGAAAGCAAGAAACAAAACTTGTCTGCAGAGGATATGCTTGTCTACATAGGAAATCCAAGACAATCTACAGAGACCATATTTTATAAATTTTAAGACACATTAAAAATTATTTTAACATCTTTGTAATTGGGCTGCATTTCACAATAAATGAAGAGTCATAATTAAGTTGGGAGCCTGTCTTAGTCTGTTTGGGCTGCCATACTGAAACACCAGCCTGGGTGGCTTTAAACAACAAACATCTCTCTCTCACAGTTCTGGAGTCTGGATGTCCACGATCACGGCACTAACGTGTTCTGGTGAAAGCCCTTTCCCTAGCTCATAAACGGGCACCGTTTTGCTGTGTCCTCACATGTGGAGAGGGCAAGAGGTCTCGGTGAGGTTTCTTTTATAAGAACTCTAATCACATTCGTGAAGGCTCCTTCCTCATGACCTAAGGACCTCCCAAAGGCCCCGCCTCCTAATCATCATCTCTGGGGGTTAAGATTTCAACATATGAATTTGGGGGAGGGGTGGCATGCAAACATTCAGGCCATAGCACCTTCTTCAGAATTATAGTGTGTGTGTGTATATATATATATGGCATATCTTATAATGGTATGGTATAATACGGCATATGGATGGTGTATTAGGTACACTGAAATACAGTATATTGTTAGAATTTTGAGTTTAACAAGACTGATACAGTCCATACACAAAAAAACTCATATTTAAGTATACCAGCAAAAAATAGCAAATGAATTTTAAAGTAAGAATTGTTAAATATAGTTATGGTATAAAGGTTATAAAAATGTTATTTAGAGGTACATATTAGAAGTATTTAGTATAGAAGTCAAATGTCATGATAGCAGAATTCCTTCCTTTAAAATATTTTAAAGGAAAAATATAAAGCAAATATAGCAAAATGTTAATTACTATTAAATCTTGGTGATGGACATATGAGGGTTCAAACTATTCCCTCTGATTTCACATATATTTAGAAATAATGTTTAAAACTTTGAGAAATGATGAAATCCTTAAATGAAGAAATATATTATGGTCTTAGATTGAAGAGTCAATCTTGTAAAGATGTCTATTCTAGTCCATGCATTCCCAGTAAACAATTCCAATAGGTTTTATTTTTTTAATGGAATTGATGAATTGCTTCTAAAATTTATATGCAATTTCAGAGTCTAGACAAGATTCTCTTTAAGAAAAAGAATGAGGTAGGAGGGCTTGTTTTACCAGATACCAAAGTTAAAGAAAATTAAGACTTAATAAAAATTAGTCAAAAAAAAAGGGGGGGGGCACCTGGGTGGCTCAGTGGTTAAGCATCTGCCTTTGGCTCAGGTCATGATCTCAGAGTCCTGGGATTGAGCCCCGTCGGGCTCCCTGCTCAGCAGGGAGCCTGCTTCTCC